TCTACATTATTTGTCTTTAGTTTGGCATCAGCTAATTGAAGAGATCAACTTAAAGAATATAGCATATTTTTGCATCGTATTTAACTGAATATTTATGTTTTGGCATGACAGGAAATTATCCAAGAACAAATCACAAGAGTCTTGTTAGAACGCCTTATTGTTAATCGACCTCATCCCTGGGGCCTCCTCATCACTTTTATTGAGTTGATCAAGGTATTCATTTATTGCTTGTATATTTGTCTCTTAAAAGCATTTTCTTTGTGGCTTGCAATTAACATAATCTCTTTATTTTTTCCTTATCATTTTCCAGAATCCTAGGTATAATTTCTGGAACCGGTCTTTCATAAGATGTGCGCCAGAGATTGAAAAGCTATTTGAGTCAGTCTCAAGGTCTTGTGGAGGTCCAAAGCCTGTGGATGAGAGTATAGTCTCGGGTTGGGTCTAACTGTCCATAGAGCTGTTCTTGTTTTTTAGTTCAGTCTAATAGCTATCTCGTGACTAATCATTTTTAATGGAGCTGTTGATCTAACATATACTATTTGTAAATGATAATTTTGTAAAATTCTCAAGTTTTGTGAAGTTGTAAATACATATGTTGCGTCATAAATCTTAATGTCAGATTATATAGGTTTTAATGATGAGAAAGCTTATTCTATTTTGTCAGGTAAAGTATTAGAAATATGTACTTGTTTCTAGAGCTTCATTTCATCCTTATTACACGGAGAAGAGGAAACTGAGGCTGAAAAAAAGTGGTGTTGGTTGGGGAGAGGGCGATAAACTGATGACCTAATATTTGCATTTTGCAAATCTAAATGGGAATGTAATAGTGGCTCATGAGAGCATATATTAACTCTAACCTACTGTTCAGTGTTCACAATACAATGAGCAAAACATTTAACAATGTTGGAAGATTGTAACAATGTTTTGTGAGATAGTCTGTGTATTAATGCTGCATGGATTCAACATAACCGTAAGCGTGAGCCCCAAGCAGTTTCTGAAGGGGAGTGAGTCTCAGATATTTGAAGCTGTTGAAATCTTTTCATTGTCGATCGTCTCAAGCTCAGCTTTTGCTTCTCTGCCTTTTCCCTCACTAGGCATATTTTCTTTTGAGTCCTGACTGAAGCCATTAGTTGTTTTCTCTCAAGTTTGCTCTGCAATCATAGCATGATCATGAAAAAACAGCCTATGTAGTTCCCCCAACTCAAATCATTCAAGCCGAAACATATGAAGAAAATATTATTATATTAAAAGATTTAGTGTTTGTTCTTTTAAATGACATTGTGTTATATTATTGTAAGTAAAAGAAAGACAAGCAATTAAAATCATGGGAGAGAGTGAATTTAAATAGAACAATATTAAGTTGTGTCTTTTTCTTTCTTAAAATGATACATTTCTTTCAATATTAAAACTCTGGTTCTTAATGCCCATGATCATCATGCAACACTGAAGAGGATAATTCATTTTGGAAAATTACAGTGTGTTTAGATAACAGATTGAATAAGCCTACATGCCTGAATTTTATCCATCTCGTCCATGGCTTTTTTTGTTTTCTGCAATTCCCAATCATTTATAGCGTCTTCCTTCCTTCTCATCCTATCAAAAGATTAGTCACCAGAAGTTTCCTTGTTAACGATTGAATCACACACAAAACAGAACTACACTTGAAGTGAGAGAGGTTTGAGAATTTTGTGTTTTGTTCTGTCACCTGTGCATGAGTACAACATGCTTGGCCTTCTCACGTGCATGCCTTTCGGCTTCCCGTTTCTTCCTTCTGACTTCATTCAAGAATTCGTCGTAAGGTTTGGGCTTGCTTATGAGACTTCTGCGATCATTGCTTCCATATTTTGAGGCTCCATAAATGCTGTTTATGCATGTGAGGCGTGTCTGGCCTTTGGAAACAGGACTCTCTTCTCTAATTGATGGTAATGTAATGTTGTAAAGTTCATGTTCAGTAGCCGTAAAGAAGGTACCACATATTGCTGAGATTCTCAAATCTTCTTCTGGGCTTCCATTTTGCTCTGGATGAACAGATTCCGATGAAAACATTAGAAAACAATTTATAAATTGAAATCAACTACCATGTTGACATGACAAGACACGACAAACCTGTAAGATGGTTATTCTGAAAGGTGAAGGATTTGCAGAACTTGTTGGCATGTTCCAACCATTCATCAATATCAGAGAAGCAAGTGGAGCACTTGTTGTTTTCAATGCAGGCGATGCCAAAGCTCTGAGATTTCAAAGCCATGATGACATAAACCATACAAGCCAACATGGTAAATCAAAGACACTTGGGATTAATGACAGGAACAATTGAATATTTGCAATCATTTTCAAGAGCCCAGAAAAGATTTAACTAGAAAGGAATCAAAGGGCATGCTTATGCTTCATATGGGTATGTAACCACTGAATCAACTTGTTGAACTTCTCAACAAGAAAACGCATGCATGCATGCATGTGCATCACGTCAGAGTGAACAAAGAACAGAAAGTCCCAAAGGACAAGTGATTCTAGTAGAAAGATTCATTGAAAAATGAAATGATAGATAAAACAAATTCAGGAAACCAAAGGCACCAAAGAAGGAGTTTCTTGAAGGAAAGAAGAGCAACAACCTGGGTTCTTGGAGTGGAGAATTCAGTGGCATTATCTGAGTAGTTTCTGGTTGTGTGCGAGTGGGAATCAAAAGTGTGTGGGGTTGAGGCAGCGTGGCTGCAAATGGGAGAGGGAGTGTCTGGCAGAGCAGTCATGAGGGAACTCGTGCTCCATTCTTGTTGCACAACGTCACCACCACCACCACCCATCTTGTCACACTCTGTCAAGTTTCTTGTTCTTGCTAAATCAGAAGGAGAAGAAGAATATTGGTTGGAGCAAAAAATGGATATGTTGGCTTCCATGTGTTGGTGTTAATTCTTGAATGCGTTACATTGGATTCTTCACCAATGGAAACCAGTCTCTGCTCTCTCTTGTGCATTTCATTAACGACTAACAAATATTATTGAAGGTAGAAAGTATATGAAAGAAATGTTACCTTTGTTTCATTACCCCTCATTGGTCGTATTTATGTGTCAAAGGAGTGAACGTACTCCTACTCCTCGAGAAATTTGTTCTATTAATATGAGTAAAAATTGAATTAATAAACCTATTTTTTTCTTTCCTTTACCATAATTAAATGGTGAAACTTTATCTGTTTTGTTGCATTGGTGCAACACGTGTCTTTTGGCAGATTAATCCAAAATTAAATTATTATTTTGTTAGATTGGTTTAGATTCCTTTTGTTTTTAACTCAAAATTATATTTAATTTTCTTTAATCAAATTAAACCTGAATTCGTGACTCAAATTGGCACCCTGGAGGCAAGTCTTGTAAAGTAGCCTAATTAAATGAGGGTAACATGGTTCACCCACTCTTTCGTACTGCAAAAAATTACTTTAGAAAATTAATATTTTGAAACAATATAAAATTACCTTAGAAAAACATTATTTTGAAAGAATACGTAGTTATAATATTGAGATATATTAATTACCTTAGACCAAAGAGACCAAGTTCAATAAGTATCTAATCACTCTATCTCAGACAATACAACAAGCACTCAATTCATCGTCTCAGGCTAAACAAGAAACAATTCAATTTTTAAGAACAGGTTCTCTTTAAATAGTGGTAGTAAGTATTTTGCAAATTTCTAAATAATTAATTTTAACATCACCAAAATAACCACCAACAAAAAAAAAGGGCATTACCTAGATCATTTTTGAAAAAAATTATAATACCCAGCAAACATTTATTCAACCTAGATTGAATCATTTGAGGTAATTTGAAATATTTCTTAGGAATAAGATATTATACCCTTTTTTTCCATACCTACTCTACTTACTATTGTACAACACCGTTACATTAAAATCTTAAGAAGAGAGAGAAAGAGTGACGGTCAGTTGAGATTCTGATATAACGATGTTAAAAATAAGTAAGTAAAGTAGACAAAAAAAATGTAGGCATAATACTTATCTCATTGTTCTATTAAACCCTATCATACACCAGCATTTCAAAAAATCTGACGTGTCGTGTCGGACACTCTCTGACACTCTAACACACGTTGTAGAGACTCAAAAAAAGATTGAAAGGTTGCGTTGCATTATGTTTTTAGTTCCAACTATTAGATTCATTGAATTACTATTACTATTTTATTGAGTTTAATATAAATATTTGTGATATCTTATGTTTCTTTGCAAAATTGATGACTATTATGAGTTTAGCATTATTTTTTGTTAAATTATTAAATATTAAATATAATATACATTATATAAATTAAAAATATTATTTAATATCAAAACATGCCTAACATGTCGAAATTTAACATTTTTTAGAATTAATGTGTCGAAGTACTGTATCGTGTCGTATCCTGTGTTGATGTCGATGCAATATAGATTAAACCGGAGTCAATCATGGACATTAAAAAGTTAATATAGATAACTCTATAGACTTGTAGCAAAATAAAGCCAGTTTGCTTACTATCTCAAATCGATTCAATGCATCTGAAATCTTTAGTGACAAACTACAGATATTATTCAGAAAATTTATAAACTTGTATTAAAAAAAAAAAGTTTGTAAAAATGATAGTTTCTACCTAAAAAAGTTTCTTTCCATGCCGAATCTAGTGTCCTCAGTTGAATAGAATTATGGTTCAACTTCAAGGGGCCTAAAGATGAGAAAAAGCACATGACTTCCACTCCAAATTGATAATTCCTCATAAAGCTTAGTACTACAACCACTTTGGTTTAAATTTTACAGTGACAAAAGTTACAAACCATCCACTTTGAGGGAAGAAAAGGATAACTAAATGAGGTAAAGAAATTAGAAAGGAAAAGACTCGAGGGTTAATGATGATACTAACTGAGGATGCTTCTATGGTCAAATAACTTGTCTCTGTATTCATAATCAAATAGCTGTAGAGGATGTCACAAGTTTTAAGTCAATATTTGCATAGAAATAGCTTTCCAGGATCTTCTAGACATCATTTTGAAGTTGATTAGAGACCTCCGGTTGATTATCCAAGGGCATGTATTGGGCCATGATTGCCCTTATCTCATAATCCATATATCTCTGCATAAAATTGTTTTCTCTTGTAATTTAAACAACTTTAGCATGGTAATGCCTAAATAGTACCTTTGCATAATAACTAGAATCTTCAATAAACAAAAATGAAAGAATAAAATTGATTAGCATTTGAACCAAATTGCAAATAAGAAGAACAAAATACATGTTAGGTGCTTCATTCAAACTTCCTTTTAGAGCTTGTTTAGCCATGATGTTACATATAGTACAAGACACTCAATGCATCACTTACAAGAATTAGAAAAAAAGTAATTCATCACATTGTATTTATTCTACCCGCTCCTTTATGGTTAACATGAATCCCACTTATTACTACTTTTAGCAAAGACGAAAAGAGAAGATACTTTTGGGGGCAAGGGATTGATGATTGGAAGACTACAAGTATTAATTTCCATTAAAAATAACATAAATGCTTATTATCTAGTTACATCTACCCTATGGTTTTTTTTTTGTTTTTTTGTTAAAGGACAAAACTGATATCAAGTCAGAAAGAATCATACCTGGATTCTGTACTTGTAAAATGCATATCCCCCAGCACCAGCAACAGCCAAGATCAGAATAACCATCCAAACAAATCCTCCGCTGGCCACTGAAGCAGCATATTTACCTGCATCTTGTAAGATACCACAAGAGTGAAAATTAAATAAATTATTCTTTGTCAAGTCTCAATAGCTATGCAAGGAGTTTCAACATAGAGAGTTAGAAAGGAAAGAACAAAATTTAGAAAACTTGACAAACTACATATGGGATAAATAGAAATCTCAATTCAAGGTAGAAGCTATGAAGAATATCTAGCACTAGAGTTATCTCAAAAAATGGCATGCAACGAGTTAGAAAAACTAAGAAATCCTCACCAATACACATGTCACTTTCTCGCATGTAGTACAAACCATTACTGCATCTGCAATCATAACTACCCCATGTATTTTTGCATTTGCATTCTGGGCACTGGCAGGCCAATTTCTCTTTGCACTCATTCACATCTGCAACATAATCAACACAAGAAATATAGAAAAGCCTATATCATATTTGTAGAATAGCTACCCTACCAGCATAATTGCTTACTACTGTAGGATCACATTCAATCATTCTGAAAAAGTCCACTAAGCAAATGTCTCTGATGTTTTTGTGATTCACTTGATACTAAAATAGTTTAAACAAATTTAGGATGGCAAAGTACCTTCACAGGACTGGACTCCATCACCCCTGAATCCTGGTGGACACTCACAACCTTTTGTGTGGTTATCCTGCATAATCAATGAAGAAACAAGGAAACAGAAGATAATTAATATGAAGGAATAAATGCAAATCCCGGTGCACTAAGACTCCCCGACTTTGTGAGGATAGGGATAAGGGACGACGCACTATCACCCTTGTATTTTAGCAAAGAAGTTGTTTTAAACCACTTCCCGTTAAACCCGACTAACGAGTGTGGGGTGGAGGTAATCCTTGTACGCAGCCTTACCCTTATATAATTGCAAAGAGACTGTTTCCTGGATTCGAACCCATGACCTTTCAGTAATGAAAGAACAGCTTTAGCAAAGAAGTTGTTTCACAAACAAAATCCATAATCTACCAATCAAAAAGGAGCAACCTTACAGCTACACTAAGGCTTGCCCCAGATAACTTACATAACATGAAAAGAAAAGCTTATAAGAAAAAGCATGTTCAAGAGGATGAGGACTACTTACTATACATGCAGAGTAAGCCCTTCCTTCTTGTGTTCCCTTCCAACAACCTCCATTGTTGATTGCACACCTCAAGGCTTCAGTAGCTGTTTAGAAATTCACATATGCAAAGTTGAATTTAGTTTTATTTCATATTTTGAAATTTATAGCAGGAGATGAAGCAATTTATCTAAATTCAAGATACTAATTGACCTTCACAATGGGTATATCCATCACCAATAAACTTCACATTTTGCACAACAGGGCATTCACATACTCTTCCTCGGAAAGTGTCCTATAATTAGCAACACGATTAAGACCACGCATGAATTGAAAATACAGTAATATAAACATGTCACAAAAATATGGCAGACAGGATTGACTTGACCAAGTACCCTGCATGCAGTAATATTAGCAGATTTGTCCTGCCAACAACCACCATTGTTTTGCTTACACTCGTTTGTTTCCATGTCTGCAAAGAGTAATCAAATGTACCTGATATCAATTCTTTTATCCAAAAGAAGGAATGACAACACACATCACACGTCACACAATAACAGGTGAGCCAAGGGCTGCTTGTAAAAGGCAAATAACTAAGGAGGCAGAAAAATTTTAATTTCGATTTTTATCTACTCCTCTGATATAAACTCCCTTACTTAAATTAGAAATAAGGGGGTTGAATCAGAAGTCTCGAATTCGAGTTTGGAAAGGAAAAAGATATTATTAAGGGAACTGCCTTTATATAGCTCCCATCATCGAGCTCGAACTAGATTAGTTGGTTTCCAATAAATAAATAAAAATCACTCCCCATTAATTGTAAGGACAATCCTTACAATTAATGGGAAATGATAAACCAATTAATTGTAATGGGCTAGTAAGAATGGGATAAGGACAATCCTTGTACGCAGTTTTACCCTTGCACAATTGTAATTCATGACTTTTCAGTCACAAAGAAACAACTTTACCACTACTTGCCCCTTTTTTTTTTCAATAAACCAATTGAGAAAAAAAATTAGAAATAAGGGGAACTCAGGTTATATTAATAATAAAGAAGTGAGTGAAAAAAAATCATATTTTTCTAACTTCAGTACTAAATTTTTTTTCATCTCCAAGGATGTTTGGGAGGGGAAGTTCAAGGAGAAAAGAAGGAAATGATAAGGACCTGGAGTTAAACAAATTGATGGCTCAGTGGTCTCTTGGAAACCTGCACAGATTGCCTTGAGTACTGATGGTCTTGAGAGCTTACCTAAAATCAGTTAAAAAAAAAAAAAAAAAATTATGTAAGAGAACAAAGTTAAATAGCCATCAAGATATCTATACAAGGGTTGTTTCAAACCTCTATACTGTCTGTTGTTTATAACTAGAGTTGGCAGTATAGTAACATCACCGCGAGTGCCCTTGCCAATCTGAACCAAATTGGAAAAATAAAATAAAATGCAAAACAATCATAAAACAACAGAATGGCCTAATTCAAGAACAAGCCCAAAAAAAGAACCTTAAGAAGTTTTCCTTCTGAAAGACCAACCTGTGCATCCTGTTCTGCCTTAAGAACAGGGTTTTCAACATCTGCTTTTGGATCCCCAACACAGTCTTTAACCTTCTTCAGATCAACAGCTGTATAGTTAATGTTGGAAAGAGTGAATAGACATATCTCAGCTTAGAATGATGACACACACACACAAAAAAAAAAAAAAAGATTCCCAGAAAATTTGAGATAACAAATGAGAAGTTAAGTTTATCTTTATGCCAGAAGATAAAGGAGAGTACAGCTATGACTTGATTTGTATGTTGGGTTTGAGAATAATGGCGGTGAAGATACAAATTTGGTTTTGTTCCACGTATACATCAAAGCTTTAGCATTTGAAAAAACACTGAAATTCCTTAAAGCATTGACGAGAAAACTATAATCAAATATTATATTGGGCCAAAATGAAAGCGTTTTATGATTTTTCTAGCTGCTTACATTTTTTGCCACACACTCAAAATCTATCATTAAAAAAATCTTACCAAAGATTTATATTATATCTCTTGGTACCGAACAATTACACACACAATCATTGAGTGGGACTCTATTCAATAAGAGTCATTATCTAAATGCGAAGTATGAATTATATCTAACAATATCTAACATATTCCTCTCACATGAGAGCTCCTTAGCTTTATCTATGAATAATGCACAAACTTACCTACTTATGTCATGACCTAAAAGTTTAAACTGTGGGGGAAGATTGATGAATAATTTTATTATATCTCTAATATATTTATATTATATCTAACAAAACCAAACACAAAAGAAAATAGAGCAAGCCTACTGCAAAGCGTGTGCAAAGAAACATGAACTGTCCAACCTACCAAGAGATTTAATAACTTGATTTGAGCATTCTTCAGTGTACATATTGTCTCTCATTGGGCATCGGATTGAAAAGTCAGTGACATAGTCCCACCATTGCCAAGGCTTTCCACTTTCATTTGCCACTTTAAAGAAGCAAGCTTGACGTAAGTTTTGAATAACAACATCTTTGCCATCATACCCTCTACTGAAATCTTGTTCAGGATCTGGTGCACAATACCTCCCATTATTTATGCACTGAGACTTGCACTGTTGGCTTAAGATAAATGCTTCAGGGCAATACCAAGTTACATAGTGAGGTGTAAACCGAGTGAACCCTTTTTGCTCAAGTAGTTGTGCTGCCCCTTTAAAACTCTTCACAAAGTTAATTTGACTCTCACACTTTGGTCCACACTCATCATTGCTATTTGTCCAAAACTCATATTCAACTCTCTCATCAGGGTGTGGAAGTGCCTCTCTCCAATCAAGATTTACATTAACCATAGCACCACCTGAGAGAGCCACCTTGATGCTATCCCCAAGTGATTTGCTTATAAGGGCAGAAGGAATGCTAATCTTTTCAATATAATCATCATCATTAGCAGCATTCCCTTCTTCTGGTGTGTCCATTGTGATCAATGGTTCTATCCTATCATCTGCAACAAGAATAGCTGCTGCTCCACCTTTCTGTCCATTCCAAGCCTTTAAAGTGAAGTAGCAATCTACCAAAACAGTGAAAAAAAGAAATGTTACACACTTGAGAGCCTTTTTATTGGGATAGTTCTAGCAACCAATGAGAGCATCAATGTGTCACCAATCACCACACAATAAAGTGATGAATGAAAATTTACAACACTCTTGTGCAGTAAGTTACGGTGAACCTGTTACAAAATCATATTGCAATGCACAAAAGGTTTAAAATTTCCATAAAATGCACGTCAACCACCAAATATTTTAGAAAACTTTTACTTTTTTTGTTCTTAATTATTTGATGGCATATTCAAAAAGTGAAGAGTTTGAAAGGACTAAAAGGGTAGCTGACCTCCACGATCAACAAGAACAAAGGTGGGGAAATTTCCTGGCTTGGAACTAAACAAGTTATCAACATTATTAAATTCACTGCATCCGTTCTGATTAAACTTGGGGTACACCACAGTGCCAATCATTGTTCCTCCATACTTGGGGACCCCGAAATTCCCTATTGCACATTCATATATACCTCTCAATGATTTTGGAGAAGTGATTTTCAAATTGTTCTTCTCCACCACAAACCTGCCCATACAAGACCCACAAAGCAAAATCCAAATACACCACAAAAAACTTAACTTTGTCCTCATTTTCATGCTAAACTCTTCTACTTCAAAAGAGAAAGATCTCAAACAACAACAACAACAACAAAAGGAAACTCTGTTTTTATTGGTTCAGTTAACAACAAAACTGAAATCCAAACAGCATTGAATGCAGATGCAGGTCTCTTTGAAGCACTTTCTGGATTGAATGAGGAGATTAGATTAGTGTAATGTGTACGCTGATGAAGGAAACCCAGATTTGGAAAATGAAAATTAAGGCCAAAAACAATGGCTTTTTGTTTGTGTCTGATGCGTAGAAGAAGAGAATACAAGAGAAAAAAAGCATCTAAAACCAACACCAAAACCAAAAGGCGAAAGAAATGGACAATGTTAGTTACATTCAACGGTAATTGCAATCATCACCGTAAAAATACAACTGCATAAGACTTTGCAAACTGTATTCAATCTAACTATTATTCACATTGATACAGTAATATGATGACTCGGGGAGTTTATAAGAATTTTAAAAAAATGTTACTATTATTGTTAAACTTTAAAATATTTATAGTTTATTTGAAGCTTGGAGATTTAGATACTTATAATTTTTTTTTTTAAGAAAATGAATTGTAAATTTATATAAAACTGTTAACTATTGAGTAGGGGTGTAAATGGGCTGGGCTGGGTCGGGCTTTGGCCTTCCTGGCCCAAGCCTACGTCAAAAAAAATTCAGCCTATCTGACCTACTGGCCTATTAAAGGCTTTATTTGTAGGCCAAGCCCGGCCCATTTTTAAAAATAAGAAATCCTGACATGGCCTACAAGCCTTGTAGGCCTCCCACTATAGATACTAAGCAAAAATAATAATAGTATGTTATCAAAAAATAAATAAATAATAATAATAGTATAGAGCAAAGAAAGTTTCATTCATGCATGCACTAATACTTCTCATAAGAAAAAAATGACAAACAAGAAAGAGTCAACATAATACCCCAGCTCTAGAATGTATATCATAGAGGAATAGAGTCAAAGAAATGGGGAAAATAAGAAAAATACAATTACTGGATGCTGAAATAAAGTCTATAAGAGAATATTATTCATCTAAAAATCTTTAAACCACCATCAAGACAAGGGAAAGAAAAGTATTATTGAAAGATCTTCATCAGTAACATCATAATCCAACAAGGTACCCATTGCTCCATGGTATTAAGCTGCAACAACATGTAAAATTTGGAGACACTAGACAAGTTTTCCTTTCATAAAATAAAATAGCACAAAAAGTAAGATATATTGGTATTTGGTACTTTGCATCTTTGCCACATAAAATAAATATTATTTTATTATTTTATTTTAATAAATTAAATAGGCCAGCCTACAAGGCTGTAGGCCGGGCTTGACAAAATTGGCCTATGGCCTATTTGTTAAAAAAGCTTTTTTATTGTTATCAAAAAAAAAAAAAGTTTTTTTATAAGCCTAAGTCTACTCTACTTTTCTGAAAAGCCGAGCCTGGGCCGGGCTCAATGTAAGCCGGGCAGTAGGCTGGGCTGGGCCAACCTGGCCCATTTACACCCCTTATTGTGGCCCTGATAGTTTGCTTTTTGGGTTAGGTACGAGACAATTAAATGGATATTGTTTTTTATAGACATTTATACCTTTATATATTGGGTGTATTGTTTCTCATGTTGTAGGAGATGAATTTATTTTCTAAACACATATAAAAATGTGTGAGACTCATATGTTTTTTTTTTTTTTTTCATCTCCTCACATGGGCCCCCCCACATTTTTATTTGTGTATAATAAATAAATTTATCTCCTATAACATGAGAAATACTAAACCCATACATATATGGAAAATACATTTCTCATGTTGCATAGATAATTTTATCTATGCAACATGAGAAATGTATTACCATATGATGGACATTTATAATTTATTGGGTTAAATTCATTAATAAATTATTAATTTTCAATAAATTATAATCGTATGATGGCGAAAATTAACGATTAAGATTTGGTGTAAGTGGATCTTATCTGATTATATATTACATTTGGTTACATTTGGTCTTACTAAAATTTTATGTATGTACATTCTAATTTTATAATCAACTTTTTTACAGCTATATAAGTACACCAGAGTAATGTTATAAAATATCATTCAATTTAATTTAAGTATCATTCAGTTTAATTTCAATTTAATCATAAATTTGACACACAAAAATATCACAATTGTTCACAAATATTTTTATCTCATTAAAATATTTTTATCTCATTAAAATAAAAATAAAAACATTTCTTATTTTTCTCACAAATGAATTCATCAATAATGTAACACCTCATGTGCACCCGGTGTATTAACATACGTATGGTAATAAGCGCAATATGTTTAAATAATTAAACGCGAAAGCTCTTTTCCTAAATTACTAGGCTAGACCTAGCATAAAAACGTGATTAACTTTTTCCTTTTCCTTATTGCAACTTTTATCGCCTCTTCGGTCAAAATAAAATGAACGATATTTCGTCTGTATTTTGGACCATTGGGGATAATTACCACCATGACAATTGCAACTGATTAACAGTTTAATATAATTTAAGCATACATCATATTACTCAGCCATCCATGGCATAGGCTATCACTTAAATACGAAGTCTCCAAAGCAATGTCCATAATGTTACTTACATGATTACATCAACTGCACAAAAGAGATGTAATTAAATAAGTAACATAGACCTGTGCAATCCTCATGGATAATATATACAGACTATCAACATAGCATATGCATCCCCTATGCTCTTCAAAAATAACATGGCACATATAACTCAAAATAATAACATGTCATGTACATATCAAAATAGTAGTCAAAGTCATGACTTCCATGTCAGGTAATATCTCTCCTCCGGCTTTTTGTCATGCAAACCATCAGCTACTGTACCTGAAATGGTAATCTCCATAACGCGGGATGAGATAATCATCTCAGCAAACTAGGGATCCTTGGAGGGCTCATCCACCCCTAGGTTCACTTTAGGTATAACACAATATAAAAATCATTTAGACATCAGAATATATATATATATATATATATATATATATATATATATATATATATATATATATATATCATGCAGTGTGCAAATAATGAATCCTACTGGCCAGAGAATACAACATGTATGCATTACGCAAGGTAACTCATCTTGCAGCATACCCATATGAGAAAACATCGTCTCATACTATGCATAAGGTAACTCCTCTTATGCTTCACACACAAGGTAACTCGTCTTGTGTGGCACACAAACATACATACATATACATGCATCATATAAAATATCATTTTTCACATACTATATCAAAGAACCATCCTCCCTCGGAGTCTGGTGTAACAAACGGGGGATTAACCACAAGGACCGAAAGCTTGCCTCAAATAGGCTTCCTCTTTTACACTTTCTTGTAGTCCAAGCAATCAAGTCCACAAGACTTTTACACCAAAACACCTATTTAAAGGTTACAAGTGTGATCAATACATATGTTATACATAACACATTAGTCTAATAGCTAACATTTCGCCAAGAGGTTTAAGTTGGATAACTTATCCTGCGCTTGACAACTTAAGGTCCCAAGTCCAAGTGATTTATTCACACAAGATAATGTCACTAATACTACCTATTCAAGGTATACCTCCATTAATTCAACATGCATATACCAATGTATTCATATGCCAACACTTTCAATTTCAAACAAGATTTAAGTTTAAGACTTACCAAATTCTTGGAAATTCAAGAACCTAAGCTTGGTCACTTGGTGGTTCTAATGGGAGTTCCTCCATCATCACTTCGCTTGTCTCACCACCATCAATTCAAACAAGCATAGCCATCACCAATGACATTCATTTTCAAGACTACACATACAAGACACCTTCACTTGATTTTGAGTCCAATTTATCAAAGTGTTCTAAATGTCGATTTCATAATTTTTCCTTTTACGAGAACCAATCCCAAGCATATTTAATAAAGATACTCAGATACTGATCATCCTCCAATTACTCAAGCCATCAAATTTTCAAAATTGACATATAGCCAAAAATCATGATTTTCTATAGTGAGCTAAATGGTGGTTTCTTTTGTTTTCTTTCATCAAGAAGTAATCCTAAGCATATTTAACAAAGGAAAATATATCCAAATCACTCTCTAACTATCCATAACATGAATTTTCGAATTTTACTATTTATTTAACATAGATTTCTCAAAATTTTATGAAAACTTGATTTGAGTGGTGAAAACTTACCACAAATCCTACAAGGATCCTTGGAGGAAGCTTTCCCAAGCACCAATGAGCTCAAACTCTCTCAAAATCCTAAAACACCATTTTTGACCTAAGCTTTTAAGGAGGAATATCTTACTCGACAATGAACCCCAACCGAAAATGAGCTATGGGTTAGAAAGAGAAGAAGATTTGACACACTTCTGGCTTTGGATTCAAGTGATTTGGAGGTCTCTAGCTCTCTCTATGTTTTTTGAAAATTTTCAAGCTTCTTTGTAATGGGGGAGAGGGGCTCTATCAGCGAAAGAAAGAAAATGAAGGGGAGAAAGAGTGTCTTTGTTTACTTAAGAGTTCAAACTAACCCAGTGGGTATAAATTTATTTTCCTTGCTCACTTAACTCTCTTTCTAACTTGACACATTGGTTTGTAATATCTTTATTGTAATATTTACTATTTCACTTTTAACATTCGGTAACTTTGCCTAACCACATTTTTACTCCTTAACTGTTATTTTTAACTCTTTTTCACAAGGTGGCTTTAACTCATCTAATTAGACTTCTCTTCTAATTAATTCTTCATTAATTACTATTATTTCTTAATAAATTTATAAATTCATTATTTACAGGCTAGGGTCATTATAAACATCTTAATTCCAAATTAATTGGGGTTGGTGGTAGATGAAGCCAAATAAAATGTACAAAGGGATAAAAATAAAAATAAATAAAATAATAATATATAAATATAAAAGTAAAAAAAGGTGTAAAATAAATAAATAAAATAAGAAGAAGAAGAAGAAGAAGAAAATG